GACAAATCACTTAGCCTACCACTTAGCTTGATTCACCATGGTAGGGCCTACCAATCCATGGTGCTGAAGTCCTGAGGCGCCAGCCACGGTCACGGTGCTGTCAAGGAAGAGGTCCTGGAAGAGGCTGCTTTGGGGAATTCCGCACAAAGGAGACCACTCACAGTCTCCAAACCAACAAGAATGATCCCCAAATAGACAGAAAAGTAGACCCCCTCTCAAAATGTATTGGAAATCGTGCCACTATCTATTTGGGGACCACTATACATAAATCAGGGTGGTGGTCCCCCATTTGCCTAACCAGCCTTGAGTATGCCCTACATGCAAAAAGTGCTGTTGTGACGGAAAAATACCTCAAAGAGCGACTTATGCAAATCAGTTCGCAATTCGCGACCCGTTTCATGGTGACGCCGGGGGCTTCTTGGGACAGAGGTCTGGCTACACAGTACATCCAGCGATCCAGCGATCCGCAGCCCGCAAGAAGGCAGCGACGTCCACCAAACCCAGCCTTTGTTGCTAGTAGCTTCTTGCTCCTAGTAGAAATGCCAGGAGCTACTAGTAGCTTCTTGCTACTAGTAGTAATGTCCGTGTTACTAGTAAAGAACGTCCATGGAAACTTGGTCAAGCCCCAACAAGACCTATATAACAAGTCCCCTCATCACAGCGCCTTGCACTTCTGCCGTCTTCTGCAACTGCAGCTCCTCCGCCAAAGGATCTGTCTTGTCCTCCAAAAGGGAAATCACCTCAAAAGACTCAGAGAGTGGAAGGAAAGGCACTGAGACCACTCTGTGACGATTTGTCGTAGGACATGTGTTTTGTTCTGCAGTCATAGAGAACCATCATACCATGAATCAAACCGTGAAACGAAACCCTGAGATCGAAAAGGGGAACTGTCGAAGAGAGGACGTGGCACCAGTGGCACCAGTGTTCACTTCTCCTCCTAGTCAAGGTCTTTCCGACGTTCCCAAGGTCTTCTTTTCCAACATTTCACACGTCTGCCACACACGCACACACTCACACAAATGAAAGAACCATGCTTTGTTCTTCCCCGCTGGTTGAAAAAGACCGCTGTACGACCGCACCAAACGCGCCAAGACCGCCGTGTTTGCGACGTCCCGCGGGTCCCGCGGGTCATGTTCCAGTCCCTGAGGTCCCGTTTTTTTTGCCGTGAGGTCCCACGCGATCTGAGGTCTGGATGCCAACAGAAGCTGGGCACTTGTAACGATCGGTTTGCAGTGGCACTTGTAACATGAAGTGTGGGTTCGACACACCCGAATTCTTCCAAACACATGGATATAAACAACTCAACAAAAGGTTTGTAAAGAAGAAGTTCGCCACTCGAGAAACGATCAACTCTCCATCCAGCCAAGGCTCTGGTGCCAGATCCGCCAAACCGGTGGTCTCGATGATGATCCGCTCCAAACACCGCCCGCTTCGGTGTCGCCGCACCAAGCCCTGTCGTGTCAAAGAAGACGCGGCGCTTCTTCACCCAAAGAAACCGAGGAAGCGAAGCACCGGAGCGAAGCAAAGCACAGCAGGTCTCCGCATCGAAGGGCGGACGGACGTCGCGACCGGTCCGGACGGCGCGACGGGAAGCGTGAGGCGTCGCTTCCCGTCTCGCCAGAACTGGTTTGTTTGAAGCGACGAAGCTGGAACTGCAAAGCGAAGGACGGTGGTTCTGCAAATCGGTTCAAGCCAAACGACCTAGGTGTAACTGTAGCATGAGATTCTATGAGACCCACATTTTTCATGCCCTGGTTGCTCGGGCCCTTTCCCGTGGGCTTCAAGCCCCGATCAAACACTCACAACTCCAATCCAGAGCAATCCGGATCCAGCAGGATCCAGCTCACCAAAAGTTCAGCAGTTCAGCTCCATGGCATGCTTTACAATGTAAAGCTCGACCGGCCCGGGAGCGTTTACCATACATGTAGAGGGTATGTAGAGTCGAAGGTGTGCGTGACAGATCTGTTTTTATTCGTACATGTAAGACTTTTATAAAGCTGGATTTGCAGGTATGCTAGATGTAAGTAAATTCTTGTTCCTAGTCGTAAGGCCAGGAGCCCCGTTCGTAGCGTCCGATCGCTTCGTTCGTAGCGATGCCCTTTGCTCCTAGTAGCGAGTTGTTCAAAAGCCATCACCGATCTCCAACCCCTGCAAGTCCCCTGCCCAGTCCACCTCCAGGGCAGCGACCAAGTCCACCTCCGCCGAGCAACAGAGGCAACCTTGATGAGGAACACGGCTGCGAGAAGACAAAGAAAAATGTTGGGTCTATCCAATTAGCAGTAAGAGTGGATGATGATACTTAGTAGAGGCCTTGTTCAAAAAATCGTGTTGATGGTTTACTGACGGCTCTACAGGTAAGAAAGGACAGACCCAAACAGTCCCGGTGACATGATGATCGAGATATGTGTGTTCATGTCCCGAATCATGTGGAAAGGTCCAAGACATGAGCCTTTCTTTTGTCAATTGGATGAGCCTTTCTTTTCTAGTACGCTTCGGCTTGGCGTCCACCTGGCGTCCCGGCCATTGGACAATTCTATGACACCGTCAGCCTCGCGACAGGGACGACGTCCTGGTGCTCTCGGACCTTGTGGTTCTGGTGACCACCAAGTGGATCAGGTCAGGTCCAACATGTACATTGTATACTGTACATTGTATACAGGGTCATCCACCAGAGTCTCTTGCCTGTGCTAAGAAGCACCTTTATTTAAAAAAATAGATTTAATAATAAGTAAATAAATAAACAAGCAAATATATAAGTAAATAAACAAATTAAAAAATACAAATAATTGCAATAAATGAATAAATAAGTAATAAATTATTTAAAAAAAAAAAAAACACACACAAAGATGTTCGTCAGCAACATCCTCATGTGAGTTTTGTTTGCACCTCAGCATGGGCGTTGGCCACCAATGCGCCGTCCACTCCAAGAGCACCAATCTCATTCTCAATGACAGCAATCTCGGCAGCCCAGGACTGGTCGCAAAAAAGCAGCAAGTTCTCTGACCGGGTCATGGCACTGGGACACCCTGGTTTTTCCCACCAAGAATGAACAGACTACGTGGCAGGTCAACCTACCCTGGTGACCAGGGCTGGCTTTGATCCACAGCCGGTTTTGAGCTGGGAGCGTGCAGCTCCGATTGGGAGCTGGAAAAGCTGCCATTGGGTGCAATGGCAAATGCCCAATGTGACTTAGGCCTTCAATCCAATCCACTTACATTATTTGCATTGTGTCCACTCGGCGACACTTCCACAACGCATCTCATTTGCTTCTGACCGTTTCCGTTTCAACCTCTTTCTCCTTTTGCTTCTTTTCTTATTCATATTTGTTCCTCTGCTTCTGACCGTCATCCTTCCACTTTTCAAGCGCCCAGGCCCGGCTTTTGCCTTCCTTCAGAGTGGCATTCAAGCGCGCCTCGACCAGTCGCGGCAGCTCAGTCACAACAAGTCGCACTCAAATGAAACGCATGTAGCCTGTCAAAGAAGCTCTGCCTGCGTGCGAAGAGCTTCATCTTGGAGCTTTCTTGGACTCTCCTTGAAGTTCAAGTAGTTCAAATCCGTGGGCCATAGGACTGATCTATCTTGGGATCCAAAAACGACTCAAGCATCGCCGCCTATGTCTCTGGAGTCCGACACCTCTACGAATGGTCAGAGTCCAACGTCTCCGCAACCCGTCTCCGCCGGTCGCCGGTGCAGGCCGTCTTGCCAGCTCCAAGGAAGCCAGTGAGTAAAGTGACTGGCACCTCACACGGAGATGATGCGGCCGACGAAAGGCTCGTCAGCGGCGAGTTTCAGGGAAGACGTGAAAGCTCAAGAGCTTTATCACATCGAAAAAAAAGAAAGGAAAGCATCGCCCACCCTTGCATAAGGTTTCAAGTCCTAGAAAGTTCTAGTTGTTTACCTTTTCCCAGCAAAGGTAAACGCAGCTTCACTTGCAATCATCAATTTGCATATGTTTCCAAATTGCTGATGGCTTTCAGAGAATTGCACTTGGCTCTTGCTTAACGATGACTGTGTCAAAAGAACCCTTTCCACCATTGCAACGCATCATGTTTAGCATTGGATGTTGTATCATTTAAACATGTGACGTCCAACATGAAAGCAATGGCAACACATTACTCATAAATCGTACGTTAAACAAATATGTTTCACAAACAAAAAGCAGTAGCAATAATAACAATAACAACAATAGTAGTAATAAATAATATATAAGCTAGCAGCTAGCATCAGCATGCGCTTCTGCAGAAGCTACAACTTCCGACCAATGGATTCTGCTGTGAAATCCCGAAGCTCCAACCGTTGGAACGTCCGTAGCGGAGCAAACCGTCCGTAGCGTGGGGGGCTTCCGGTGCGACCCACGGTGAAACCCTCCCCGTGTGACCTGAGGGTTTCTTCGTCTTCGTAGACGGACGCGACCCACACCAAGCCGAGCTTCCCCATGGGTTTCAGGGACTTTCACTGGGCCCCAAGCCTTTTGAGGCGCCACATCCATCTGAAGAGGTGGAAAATCGGAGGGAACCATGAAATCTCTTCCGTCCATCGACCTACACAAATGCTTAGGGGAGTTGTGTTTTGACCTACCTACACAGCTCGAGCTTTCGGGAGTACAGTATTCGACCCCAACAGCTGTCCAGCCACCGTTGCTGAGCTGATCCTTCTTTTCAACTTGGTGGGTGGATCCTGAACCCAAAAGGCTTTGCCATACCCCTGCTTGTGCCTGAGTTGTAGAATCTTCAAGGGCTATTCGTCAGAACACAACATATATATATATATATATATTCATCCTAAGCTATGCAAGATCCGTGCTTTTTCGCCCAAAAACACGTCCATTTTACGCCTCAAACCCAGATGTCGAGTATGCGAAAAAAAGGACATCCCAGAAGTTCATTACTAGGCATTTCCTACCTTTCCCATGTCCCTCTTCTCTGGCTTTCACAGCCGAGAACATCAGGGCGGCATCAAGCAGCTTAAGGCTTCGGTGGCCCATGAGTCAGAGCCGGGGGAAAGGGGAAAGAAGGACCTCGGTCACAGGCGCAAGCCTGTGACCTCCTGTCCTAATCCTATGTTTGAAAGAGAGGGCCAATAGTAACTCTTTGTTGTTCCTGTACATTGAAAAAATGTAAAAATTGTCAAAAAGAAAGGCACATGCTGAACAACAGTGACTATGGTCCTACCATGTCCGGGCCAACCAATCTTCTCACACCGCCCAAACAGTGCACTCTGATGGGCTCTGATGGGCGCAGCGAACTCGACCAGCCGGTCTAAACAGGCAGAGATCTTCGATGGGGCCATGGTTTTGTTCGGGCCCATTGGACGGTTCTAGGGCCCAGGGGGTGTGAGGTTTGTAGATAGAGCGCCTGGAGGCACTGGAGGCCGAAAAAAAGGAGTCCTGTCGTGGTAGACAGTTATATACGGGTCCGCTGCTGTTGGGCACGGTCTGGTTCGTTGGTTTGGTCATCGAACCTAACCCCCTCGCTATCAACAAACACCCTACCGTTCTCATCTCCCTATCTCTCATCTCAAATCTTAAAAAATGAAAATAAATAAATAAATAAAGCAAAGGCTGAGCTATGCTTGCCATGTTTAAATAAATAAATAAACAACAAGTACACTCCCTGAACTCCTCTTGGTTACTGATCGGTGACCCCCAAGAAACCCCGGGCTTCGCACCGGGGCAGGCCGCGGAAGGCCCCCTTTTTCCGACGAGGCGGAGCACGGCACGAGACCGTGCGATGGTTCAAACTGGCCACATGCCGAAGCTTAATCCAACTGCGAAGCTGTGTGCAACGCAGCTGAAATGGAAATCGATGTTCAGGTCGAAGCGGAAATGTTTGGCAAAAGGTTCTGTTTGCAAGATCGAAAACTTCTCGGACGAAGTCGTCTCTAACAAAGTCAAGCTTTGGGAAGGTGCGATGTGGTTTGACTGGACGGCACTTGACTGGCACCCGGTGCCATCTTCTTACTGAGAAACATAGAGCTGCTTGATCATCAAGGTGGAACTGCTTCGCATGTTTTCAGCTCACTGATAAGAATGATAGTTTGATGGGCAGGGTCAGCAAGGTGTGTCATTCTCTTGAAAACACCGCATCTTCTTCTCGCAGCGATGCGTCCGTGGGCAGTTCTGGCTGCTTACAGTCACACCCCTCTTCGCTCGGTCAAGGCACGGCCACCAGCCAGGCAGAGCTGGAAGCAACTCAGACGGGGGCAGAGCTAGATCTGGCGGTGAGAAGGCTGAGACATTCTGAGGCAATCCTTTCGAGCAAACACTAATGCCTCAATCAAAGCTCCATTTCAGGATCATGCGGCATTGGACATCATGTTTATTCATGGCTCGCGAAGCATTTCTAGTGTCCACGATGTCACCTGCACACTGGTTGTGCGATGGCGCTTACAGAGCTGATGTCACACCTCACTGAGTACGATCAAGGCCTATCCGGGACATCGAAGACAGTGCATGTGCTGCGCATGCGACACATGTGAGATACAAGTGTAGAAGCCGTTGAGGCTTTACGGTTACCACGAAAGTCCGCCACACATGCCTGGCACTTCCGTTTATGAGTCCTGAAGGAAGATTTTGTTAAACTGCATGTCGCATGGCAGCTTAGATCTTTCAAAAAAGAACCGACTTGATCAGGAAAAGGTCAAGCACTTCAACCCCAAATCGTGTCACTGGTCAAGAGCAGTGTGTCACTGGACTCCTCTGCAAAGACGTTGCAGCTTCTGCAGGCTTTCTGGGCATCCCTGCGGAAAAGGCCTGCAGAAGGCAGCATCCATGCCCTTGGCTTTAAAAGAAGATACCCCACAAACACGTGTGTTCAGACCTCCAAACGTCGCAGGAAATTGGCAAGGGAAGGAGGACAGGCATTTCATCACATCTGAGATCCGATTTCCATGTGCCTCTCGTGTGCACCTGGACCAGAACGTCATTCACCTGGAGAACGGCAGCATCTTCCACCTCATCCCTCATCCGTGGCTCAGGACATCAGCCACGGACTTACACCAAAACCGCCCAAGATCGTGGGCACCTCTCTGGTCTTCGGTGCGAAGAATGGATCAAACGACTTGAACGGCTGAGGACAGGCCCAGGCCCCTGGCACAGCCTCTGCCGGCCTCCTGAGAGCGGCCTGAGAGCGACCGAGAGCGGCGTCAAGCCCCGCCTGGCAGTCAATCCACAGTTGATCCCGGAACTTCTACATCCATGATCGCCTGGTGACGATGAGAGTCACCTCAATCATCAGAGTGCCGGAGATGCTTTTGTGTCGAACGCGCTATGTGGTGCGCGACTTCGCTGGATCGACCCGACTGGAAGATGTTTTTGGTTCTGGGGTTCGGACAGCACCGTGGGATCGTAAGTGTTTGGTTTGAAGCCTCTTTACACCACATCACCCTTGGATAAGCCCAAGGATCAAACCGAAAATGGCACACCTGGTATGAAGAGATGAAGTCTTGTTGAAAAGTGCTCACATAGATCTAAGCCAACGGATTACCGGATTACAGGTGGCAAAGTATTTCATGAACTCTGAAAAATCAGGAGTGTGGGCAAGAAGTCTCCTCAAGCAGGTATCTCCACCCGTCTATCCTCAGTGCTTGCCAGGAAACTGAAAAGTGCTTGGTCAGAGACAGCCTCAAAGAAGCTCTCTAAGACACCTGCTTTGGTCTCACCGACCGCGAACTCCGACCGCTCCATGTCTTACAATGGACCGCGAAGAGCAGGCTGCGAGGCGAAGAGGCTCGTGGTTGCAGACTGCCCTTGGCTGGTGCCCAGCGTGGACAAACACGCATCACAAAATACAAAGATCCGATCAGGGTGAGCCGTTCTCATGCAAGAAAGGTCCGTTCTCAGGGTGAGGGGGGCGTTTTGGTGGTTCCAGGAAACAGAAACTTGATGAAACTTGGAAGCATGTGTATTCTCAGAACCATGAGAACCCCGACCCATGAACTACCTAGAACAACATGATAGCAGCAGCCACAAATAGATAGATAGATAGATAGGATAGGATAGGATAGGATAGGATAGGATAGGATAGGATAGGATAGGATACGATACGATACGATACGATACGATACGATTAGATTAGATTAGATTAGATTAGATTAGATTAGTTTAGTTAGTTAGATAGATAGATATAGATATAGATATAGATATAGATATAGATATAGATATAGATA